TTATTGTTTCAACTTTCATTTTTATAGATAATTTTTTTGACACTTGTTCGCAAATATCCCAACCCTCTATAGTTTGTACATAAATACGTGACATATATACGCAATCGGAGCTAATTTTTTTACTGTGTGTTGTAACAACATTTGATTACTTGAAATATCACAAATAAAAGTAGTAAAAATCGACGAAATGAGACCTTGAAATGGTTCGAAATTCGAATACCACTGACTAAAAATAATAAAGCCCTGCCCGAAATTTAGGATCCAGGAAAACGAAATAATCTAAATAATCCACGACTTAAGACTATAAAAAATTTAAGAAAAACTCCATGAATGAAAACTATAAAAATTTGCAAAAACCCATGTCGAAAAAAAAATTGGTAAAAACATACTACTAAATGTTATAAAAAATTTTAAGAAATCCGCTTCTAAAATCATAGGAATAGAAAAAATTCCAGGCTTACAGTCACAAAAACATAAAAAATCGACGACTTGAACCCTTAAAAAGCTTTATAAAAAGTCTCTAGAAAGTCCTCGTTTTGAGAAAAGGGTTCATTAAAATTTTGAAAAATAGTCACAAATTGAGACCCTATAATTTTTAAAAATTCCACAACTAGATATTTGAAAAGCTTCTTGAAAGGAGAAAAAAAACATTATTTAATATTTTGATAAGACTGAAAAATACAAAAACATATTTTTACAAATTCCCTTAGAAAAAATGTAAGACAATTTACTAATTGGGGTCATCAAGAGGTCCACAAAAATTGTTTAAAGTCAGATTTGCAATTTTTACAATATCAAACAAATGGAGGACTTGTGTCATTCAATGATATCCACAACTTGAGGCCTTATATAATAAAAAATTTTCAATAATCTATTAAAATTATTCAAAAAATACACAACATGATCCTTAAAAGAGATCTTAAAAAAATTCTTGAAATGACCCTTAAAAGAATTCTTAAAAAATCCTTGAAATGACCCATAGAAAAATATCTTTAAAAATCCTTGACAAGGCCCTTGAAAAATCTTTAAAAAATTCACGACATGAGACCTTAGAAAATGTCTTTAAAAATCAAGAATTAATGGTTTAAAAACTTATAAAAATCCTTTGAAAATCCAAATTTAAAAAAATTTATTAAAAAATCCTTGAAATGACCCCCAGAAATAAATTTAAAAAAAATCACGATATGACTGTTAAAAAAAATTTAAAAACTCCACGACAGAAGACCTCAGAAATCGTCCTAAAAATCAAGAATTAATGCCATAAAAACATATACAAATCTTTTAAAAATACATTGTTTGGGAACCCTTAAATCATAACATTAAAAAATAAAACGCATTACATGAACAATGCACCTTTCAAAACTATTTAAAAAAATACTTAAAAATCCACGGCCTGAGACCTTGAAACGTCCCCCATTTATTCGTTAAATCAAATTTATTCGTTAGATCAAATAACCTTTAACAAATGCACAATTTAGGACCTTGAAAGGTTTTAATAAGGTTCTTAAAAATATCCAAAATTTTGAACCTTGAAGCGGTTCACATGAAACCTTAAAAAAAGTCAAGATTAGAGAACTAGAAAAATTAACGTGACCATTTGAAATGGTTTATGAACCATTGACCCTTAAAATGTTAAAATGGTCAATAAAAACATTATTGGTGACCTTGAATAGAATTTAAATATTCTCTTAAAATTCGCATTTAAAATATTATTAACAAGTAAAAAAGCTGTATGTTCGGCCGGGCCGAACATTGAATACCCTCCACCATTTGGTACAAATTTGGCAATTTTCAAAAAAATGGAATCTGTCTTAAGCCGTAATATCTATTACTAACTTCAAATACCAAATTTGAAACAATTCCGGTGAATAATGACGCTAAAATCATTAAAATACCGAATATAGGGAGGTACCGTTATATGGGGGCTATATGAAAACGTGGACCTACATGGCCCATTTACGAACTTAACCTGCGTATTGGAAAAATAAACATGTGTGTAAAATTTTAGCTTTCTATCTCAATTCATTCTAAAAATAGCGTGATTACAGCAGACAGTCAGACAGACATCGCTAAATCGACTTAGAATTTTACGCTGATCAAGAATATATATACTTTGTTGGGTCTGACATGAGTATTTTGAGGAGTTACAAACGGAATGACAAAGTTAATATAAAACGAGATCGTGGTCACGAAAATCTAAAAAAACATACGATCAAAGATCCCATCAAATCTGTAAAAAAAAGTTTAAAAAATCACCACAGGACGCTATGAAAATTTTACAAATTTTTTTTTAAAAATCCACAATTTTCAAAAAAATTATAAAAACCATAATATAGGACCTAGGCGAATAAAAAACGAAAATTTAAAATTATAATGCATTTTTACAAAACCCACGACTTGTTTAAGACTTGGGGTCTTGAAAACATTAAAAAATGCCGTACGAGATATTTCTCTTCAAATTAATGGAAAATATTAGAAAATAATTAAGACCCTTAATTTTAACATATGGCTTGAAAATCTGAAAAAATCTCGATTTGGTTCATGAAAGATCTTTGTAAAATTCACCATTTAGGACATTGAAAATTTGTAGGAAAATTTTGGATGTGAAACCTGAAATGGTATTAAAAAAATGAAAATTTAAAAACCGGCGACTTGAGATTCTGAAATGTTAAATGTAAAATCTGCTAAAACTCCACTGCTTGGGATCTTAAAAGAGTTAAACTAAAATCTTTAAAAAATCCCAACTAGAAAAAACCCTTTAATAGAGACAACATTTCAAGGTCCAAGAAAAAGGGACCATCTTCACAAATTTGGGACTTAGATCTGGAAAAGCCATTTTAAATGTTTGAAACCTTAAAACGAGTCAAAAAAATTGTATGAAAACGAACTTGAACGCTTTAATTAGTCCATAAAAGCTCTATATAACAAGTAAAAAAATTATCTGTCGGTTGTGCCGACAGAGGTATACCCTCAGTCAATGTTGGATTATTTAAATATATTTTGACTTTTGTTAAGATTATTCAAATGTTTGAGCCTCTATGAAAATTGAAAATTGTAACCCTTTGTGGGTGAGTTACCAGAAGAGGTTCGCAGATATATATCGACTTGACAACAGATCTTGTCTTAGTCTAAATGGAATCGGATGTTAATTTCGCGTTTTATGAGTTTCATTGATATTCAAAATGTTGAACCATTGCGGGGGAGGCACCAGAAGGAGTGGACCAATATATTCCATCTTAACATCAGATCTTGGGTTTATAAAAATATTGGGATATGTGAAACTTTAAGACAATAGGATCCTAACAACACATTTTATAGGAGTTATAATTATTCCCTGAAAACAAACTTTAGGAGGTCTTAAATAGAATATAAATGTTAAAAAATTTAAAACTGTTACAAATCAGCGACTTGAGATCTTGAAATGAAATAGAAGACATTCCTTAAAAATTCACTCAAAAAATTATACTAAAAATTTATCAATTCAGACGTTGAAAGATGGAGAAAAAGAGGGTCCACAATAAATAAGCAAATCAACGACTTATGATCTATAAGTTCTATAAAGATTCGAAAGAAACTTGAAAAAATTAAAAAAAAAATCGTCGAAAATAGCGCTTAAATGAAAACTTTTTTATGGGGCTATACGACGACGTGGTGCTGCATCAGTAATTTTTGTCACAGGATGTTGTAAGAATTCCGAACTTCATATACGAAATTTGAAACAATTTCGGTTAGCCATTTAAAAATATGGCTAAAATAATCAATATACCGAATTTGGGAGCTAACGTGCACCGATATAGTCCATCTTCAAGCTTTACATGCCTGCAGACAAAATACAGAACGGTGCAAAATTTTACCTTCCTACCTTAATTCGTTTTGACTCTAGCGTAATTACAACAGACGCAAAAATGCAAATCTTTAAAAGATTTCTTTGAAAAGTCGTGCATTTTTAAAATAAATTTTTGTAGGCTATTCTAGAGTCGTGAATATTAAAATTAATTTTTACACCCTTCATGACATGGAGGGTATATTAAGTTCGTCATTCCGTTTTAAGATCATCAAAATAATAATTTAAGACCTAACAAAGTATTCTTGATCAGCTTAAAATTCTAAGACTATTTAGCTCTGTGCGTCTGTTGTAATTACGCTAGAGTCAATCTTTAAAAGATGCACGACGTTCTTTTTTTCTATACCCTACACCATTAGGTGGCATATTAAATGTGTCGTTCCGTTTGTAACCCCACAAAATATGCAATGTAGACCAACATTCTTGAACAACATAAAGTTATAGATCTATCTAACGGCGTCTGTCCGCCTGTCTATATATATCCAAATTCTAGTGTAGTCCCCCTTATAACTGTACCTCTAGATAATCAGCAGTTTTATGATTTTTGTTACACTTTTTAATGGAATTATTTCAAATTTGTTATTTGGAATTCTTAATAGATACTACCTCCTATGACAGAAAATTGCTCACAGAGGTTTATATCTTTGTATAATCAGCCAAATTTGCTTAAAGCCCCACCGCAGTCGAGGGATCTAGGAAAAATAAACGACTGTCAATGGGTCTATAACAAAACTATTTGAAAGTTCACATCCTTCAAGGGACCCCTTGTATTATTAGACACACTTTTCGAAATAAAACCCCTCCAAAAAACATAGTTTAAAAATTCCATGACATTTGGGTGGTCGGTAAATTCTTCCTTTAAATAATTCTTTAAATAATCCTTGACCATCAAGGTCAACGGTGTTAATGGGAAACATTTTTAAATGTTATCGATCTCAAAGTAACCACACAATAATTGTTTTCAATTTTTATAAAGGAATTGCAAACATAACACGCTCTTAAAAAATTCTATGATCTTCAAGGATATCATAGAAAAGTCTTCCAAAAATCCACCCGCTTCGAGGGGTGCATCAAATTATTTTTTAAGAACGTTTTATCACTCAAACCTCACATAAATAACATTCGCTCAAAATATACAAAACAAATGTGAACTTACCTTTTGAAGGAATTTCAGGTGTTGCCGTTACTGAGACAGTTGATAGTAAAATTATGCAGCTGAGGATGACAACAAAATGTAGAAAGCCAACCGACATGTTGCGGCGTCCGCTTGTGGCCGTAATAATGGTAATGTTCATTTTCATTGTTGCCAGGTTCTTACTGATGATGATGACGTTGTTGTTGTTGTTCTTGTAAATGACGTTGTAATGTTGTAGTAATTGCTGCGGGTTTATTGGTTGTGTTTCTTCAGCATATGTATGTCGTTGTCGTCGTCTTCGTCTGCCTTCAGTTGGAAATGCCTTTTAATAATGGCAACACTTCCGCAAATGCAACTTACAATGGGCAGACGATATTCACTTTTATGTTTAACATGAAATGCACGCACACAATGACAGCGTTTTCAATTTTATTTTTCATTTGCATTCCTTGGGAGGTTTGAGGAAAAAAAAAACAAACAAATTGAAAAATGAATTTTTGAGTTTATTTGGAAAGTATGCTTTGGTTGGAAATTAATTTTATTTATTTTGAGTTTTCTGAAAGAAAAGAGAAGAATGTTTTTTAGAATATTTAAATATTACAGAATCTAGAAATAAATAAAAGAGTAAATCAATGGACTGACTGACTGCTTGGCTGACAGACTTAAGTAAAGTAATTGGCTGACTGACTGACTTAACGATTTTTCAACGCCAAGGCGAAACGGCTAAAGTTCGAATCTTAAAATTTTGGTTCAGGGTCACTCTTGGTCAAAAGGAGTCAGGTAAGGCTGGGTTTTTGGAAATTCGTACTAGAACCGTACGAAAAGTATTAAAAGGTACTAAATATGGTACCCTTTGTATTTGGGAAAACAGCAGAGCTAGAACTCTTAAATTTAGAATGAGGAAATGATTATGATTTAGGATGGAGTGTATGATTGATATACCAAAGGGTTTTTCAAATTCGCACTATATGTGTAGGAAAAGTACTAAAATGTACTACATTTCGTACCATTCCGAATCATGTGAATGTTTAGAGCTAAAAACTTGAAATTTGGAATAGGATTCAAGGATCGAGGAGTAGAGTCGATGTAAGGAGGTAGTTTTGGAAGTGTGTACTCATGTATACAAAAAGTACTAAACGGTACTAAATTTAGTATAACTTGAATTTGGAGGAACGGATGGAGCTGGAATACTGAAAATTCAAATTAACATCACTGGCGGAGTGTAGGATTGGGATATGTAGTTTTTAAAATTTGTACTTATGTGCACGAAAAGTACTAAATGGTCCTAATTTTGCTACAATTTAAATTTTGGGAGAACCAATGGAGTTGAAATCCTGAATTGTAAAAATAAGATTACTATTGCATTCTAGGACTGAGGAATGAAGGTAAGTTTGCAAAATCGCACATATGTGTACTAAATGGTACTAAATTTGGTACAATTTAAGTTTTGGGATAGCCAATGGAGTTGGAAACCTGAAATGTTAAAATTCGATTTATATTGCCTTGTAGGACTGAGATATGTAGTTAGTTTTGGAAAATCGTACTTATGTGTACTAAATGGTACTAGATTTTGATACAATTTAAATTTTGGGTGAGCCGGTAGAGTTGGAATACTGAAATTTGGAAATAAGATTTCTATTGGACTCGAATTATAAAATTAACATTACTGGCGGAATATAGGAATGGTATATGGATAAAATATTCGAAATTTGTACTTATATGCACGAAAAGTACTAAATTTCGTACAATTACGATTTGAGTAAACCGAAAGATTTGGAATCCGGAAATTTGGAAACAAAATTACTATTACATTGTAGGACTGATGAATTCAGGTAGTTTTGGAAATTCATACTTATATGTGCAAAATGGTACTAACTTTTGGTACTATTTAAATTATAGGTGAACCGATAGTGTGGGAATTCTGAAATTCGGAAATAAGATATCTATTTGACTGTATTATGCAGTTATTCATTAAAATGTGTACTATAGTGTACTAAATTTGGTAGAGTTGGGATTTGAGTGAACAGATAAAGCTGGTATCCTGAAATTTTAAATTAACAATACTTGCAGAGCGTAGGATTGGGACATGAGGAAGTTGTCGAAAATTTGTACTTTTTTGCTCGAAATGTCCTATATGGTACTAAATTTGGTACAATTTCGCTATCGGTGAACCGATCTGAAATTTAGAAATAAGATTACTGTTGCATTCTAGGACTGATGAATGTAGGTAGTTTTGGAAATTTGTACTCTTTTGTACTAAATGGTACTTCACCAGTAGTGGTGTAATCATGAAATTCGGAAATAAGATTGCCATTGCATTATCGGACTGAGATATGTGCTGGTTTTGAAAAATCGTTCTTAGGTGTACTAAATTTTGGTACAATTTAAATTTTAGTAGAATCAATGGATTAATTAAACATTTATATTGCAGTCACTGCTGGTAATAGGTTCGTAATGAAGAGGTGGTTTTAGAAATGTGTACTACAAGTGCACGAAAAGTACTAAATAGTACTACATTTGCTACAATTTTGCTTTGGGTGAACAGAATGTGCTTGAAATTTGATATTTGGTATTAGGGTCGTAGCCTGGATATATAGAAGTGATTGCGGAAATGTGGACTTTAATTGCACGAAAAATACTTAGTGGTACTATATTTGGTATTGGGTGAAGGTGAAGAGATAAAATTCTCAAATTTGATATTTACATAACTTATGGTAGTTCTGTTTGTGATTTGGTGGTGTTGTGGAAATTCGTGCTAAATTGTTACGAAAAGTACTAAATGTTACTAACTTTGGTACTAATAATTGGGTGAAAGGATAGGACTGAAATCTTTTAATTTGATATAGTGGTCTCTGTTTGTTTCTGGAGAGATATGGAAATTGATTTGAAAATGTGTACTATAATTGTAAGAAAAGTACCGAAGATTTGAGAATTGGCGATGGCTTGGAAATCCATCCTAAATTTATACAAAAAGTACTAAATGGTACTTATTTTTGTAAGTGGGTGAAAGGATAGGACGGGAATGCTCAAATTTGACATTGAGGCCTCCGTTGGTATTTGGGAATGGGATGTGAGGTGTTTTTGAAAAAGTGTACAGGGTTGCCCATATTCGACGGACCCATCTGGCAACGCCATAACTTTTGACAGAGATGTAACATCGCTTAATGACATACCGCGTTTGAAGCGTCAGTCCAAGCAGATTTTTATCATAAACCAATACACGCCACGCGATTGTGAAAGCTCAACGTGAAAGAAGTGCGCCTTCTAAGTACACCATTAAGCGTTTATACGAAAAATTTTCGACTGGCAAGGCTCTTTCTAATCCGAAGAGGTCATATAAAAGTCGACCAAGGCGATCGGCCGAGAATATCGCTGCCGTACGAGCCAGTGTTGAGAGGTCCCAAAGAACATCCCAAAAACGCGGTTCTCAGCAGTTGGGCATGGCTTGGTCCACTTTACAACGGATTATTTGCATTGATTTGCATTTGTTCCCGTACAAAATTCAATTGACGCAAAGAATGTTGCCTGCGGACAAGCCTCGTCGATTGGAAAGGTCCGTCGAATATGGGCAACCCTGTACTATAATTGTACGAAAAGTATTAAATGGTGCTACACTTGGTATTGGGTGAAGAGATGGGGCTGGAATCCTCAAATTTGGTATTGAAGTCTCGGTTGGTATCTAGAATTTCGATATGAAGGTGGTTTCGGAAATGCGTACTATAATTGTACGTTAAGTACCGAATGATGCTTTATTTGGTATTGAGTGAATCTATTGAACTGGAATTCCGAAATTTGATATTGAGGTATCTGGTGTTGAGATATGGAGGAGGTTTTGGAAATATGTACTTTAGTTGTACTGAATGATACTAAATCTCGCAACGGGGAAAATTACAGAGCTGAAATCCTAAAATTTGATGTTAAGGTCTCTCTTGGTATCTGAGGTTGAGATATGAAGATTATTTTAAAAAATTTGTACTATAATTGTGCGAAAAGTATTAAATTTGTTATTGGATGAAGGGATAGACTTGGAATCCTCAAATTTGATATTGAGGTCTCTGTTGATATCTAGAATTTAGATATGAAGGTGGTTTCGGAAATGTGCACTATAATTATACGAAAAGTACCGAATGGTGCTTTATTTGATATTGAGTGAATCTACTGAGCTTCAATCCCGAAATTTTATATTGAGGTATTACTCTTGGCATCTGGTGTTGAGATATGGAGGAGGTTTTGGAAATATATACTATAGTTGTACTAAATGGTACTAAATTTGATAACGGGGAAAAATTACAGAGCTGAAGTCCTAAAATTTGATGTTAAGGTCTCTCTTGGAATCTGAGGTTGAGATATGGAGATTTTTTTTAAAATGCGTACTATAAGAATTCGAAGAGTACTAAATTTGGTATTACGTGACGAAATAGGGTTGGATTCCTCAAATTTAATATTGAGGTTGGCATCTGGAATTGAGATATAGAGAAGGTTTTGGAAATGTGTACTATAATTGTACGAAAAGTACCGTATGGTGCGTTTTTTGGTATTGAGTGAATCTTTTGAACTGGAATCCGGAAATTTGAAATTATGGTCAAGGTTGGTATCTGGAATTAAGATATGGAGGAGGTTTTGGAAATATATACTATAGTAGTACTTAATGGTACTACATTTTATAACGGGCAGAGCTGAAATCCTGAAATTTGCTATTAAGGCCACTGTTGGTATCTGATTTAGAGATATGGAGATTATTTGGAAAATTCATACCATAATTGTTCGAAAAGCACTAAATTTTGTTTTGGGTGAAGGGATAGGGTTGGAATCTTTAAATTCGATCTATTGGTATCTGAAATTGAGATATGGAGACCATTTTGGAAATGTGTGCTATAGTTGTTCGAAAAGTACTAAATGGAACTTAATTTGGTAATGGGTGAAGTTGATGAGCTGAAATCCTGAAGTTTGAAATGGATATAACTGTTCGTGTCTGTGGTTACGAGGGATTGAGATTTCGAGGTGATTTTGGGAAATCTGTACTAAATTTAAACGAAAAGTACTAAATGTTACTTTAGGTAGCCTATCTCTAGGTATATCCAGATAATTATTTTTAATAAAATTCCACCTCTTAAAGGACCTACATCTATAAAAGACTTAAAAAAATATCTTTTATTTCCGATGCAGAACCTGTTAACAGTCTCTAACCTGTGAATAAAATATAACAAGTAAAAAGGTTGTAAGTTCGGCCGGGCCGAACTTTAAATCCCCTCCACCATTTGTAACGAATTTGGCAATTCTCAGAAAACAATAAAATTCGTTAAAAATTCTGTTAAAATCTCAAAAATACCGAATGTCGCTGTTATATTAGGGTCTATACGACGACATGGACCTGTATAGGTAAATTTTGTCACCAGCCATTTAAATATTTTAATCCGAAACTTAAAAAATCGGTGAATAATGTATATAAAACCGGAGGTACCGT